GTTCGAGTCTCTTGATGTAGTTTTCGAATGTTTCTTCAGAGTCGTTGAAAGCTTCAATTTTTCCGATATGGGCTGCCGCCATCGTGAAATATTCAACTGAATATTCCTACTTGAGTTGATCTTCAGCTAGCTATCCTCGTCGCCACTAATATTTTGGGGGGTTCAGCTGAATATCGCAGCATGAAAAAGCATGACTCAACAAGATGGCTGTCTGGTACAATCTGTTTATTCAAAAGAATGACATGCGCAGAGGTTGCCAAGCAGATAGTTAGTCGTACCATCCGATAAGTATACAAACCAATAAGAAAGAGTAACATCCGATAAATTAATAGATGTATGAAAATACTACAGATATAAAACTGTTTTCAACATTGTATTGAATTCTCCAGGGTGTTTAATTGTTTCTATCGGATTTGAACTAGCTTCCAAAACCATATTGCTAAATAAAGATGAAAAGAAATTGTTTTTTAATGTTGTATTAGTTTGTGGTACACGATTTTCATTGAGAGTTCCATCTTTAATTTTAAAATCGCATCTGAAATAAGCATCGGAAAGAAGCAACCAATTCGTTAATTAAATGAATTAATTTCGAAGGTAATTCTACCACCATCATTCAACTTCTTTTTTCTTGTTAAATGAATAACGAATTGGATCATATAATTTAAAAATTGAATCTAGTATGTAATTTTTATTTGCCATTTTTAAGGTTTAAAATTTGAGTAGAAATTGTGGTCTGTTTTTGAATTTGAGTTAATTTTAATAATGAAATGTAGGGTGAATAGGTTCTTTTTCGGGTGGGAATTGATGGAATGTAGGGTGAGTATGGAGTAGGAATTGATTGAAGGTGTTTTTGGTGTAGGAATTTATGGAATGCAGGGTGTTTAGATGTTTTTGGTGTAAGAATTTATGAAATGTAGGGTGTTTAGGTCTTTTTTGGGACCTTTCAATATGTTCGCACTTTCCGAACACGTTCGGGAATCCCCTTGCGAACATATTGAAAGGTCTAGTACTACTTTAATCTGTCAATAACTCTAAAACCATTCAAGGAAATATTGTCAATATCAATCTTGACCAAGATCTCATCAATATAAATGATCACACAAAATTTAATTCAAATCAGATGAAAACTGAAGTCTATTGTGTTTAAAAGACAATTTCAACATGTTTTGACTAAGTCAGGGGCAATAATTCAAAAACTGTTCACGGAAATATCATAAATATCAAACTTGTCGAAGATTTCATCAATATAAATGATCATACCAAATTTCATTCAAATCAGATGAGAACTATATAGTCTCTATAGCGATCACAAACCAATTTTGATGCGTTTCGACTAAGTCAAGGGCGATAACTAAAAAACCGTTCAACGAAAAATAGCCACATTCAAACTTGTCCAAGATCTCATGAATTTAAATGTTCACACCAAATTTCATTCAAATCAGGTGAAAACTGTAGTCTTTATCGCGTTCACAAGCCAATTACAATGTTGGCATATAAAAAGGCGTTATTTAGTGGAATCGCAAGAACCACAGATGTCGGACTGAAAATAGGAATGGTACAAATCAAATCAATGCTTCCATTGTCACAAAAAAAAAACTCTTTACAATCACTTTAAATCACTCTGTTCATAGGTTGTTTGACTTCATTTGTATAATGCATTTTACAGCTGTCTAGGATACTGTATTCTTAAAACGATACCACTTCTTGAGCAAAAAAATTAAGTTCTCAAATTGGCCAATAAGAGGTATTTATTTCAGAAT